ATATAAATGATTTAGAAGGCAGTAAAATGATGAGCTAGGATTTTTATTACCTTTTGAAGGCTAGTTAGGCAGTTCCTTCTGTCAGATATACATTAGAGCTTCAAGCAGACAATTCTAATGCAGTTGGCCTAAATAATGTAGATTCCACTGCCATATCAGAATCAGCAAGCTTTCTTGAGACGCTGACCTTTTTCACCTTTACCTTACCTCTTGGGTAGAATGGTAGCAAGGAAGTTAAAATATCTTCCAATATTACAAGTTTTTGTTTTTTTTACCAACAATTTTACCATAGGCCAGCATTCAAACCAACAGTAAAAGATGAAAATGTGGAAACCAGAAGAGATTCCTGGGTGTTTTACATAAATCTTTTGGCTAAACGATTTCTTTACCTTCAAAGCACCCTAACAGACAATAAAACCTCTCTGTACTGTTAGCTATCCAGGAAGAATAAAATTATCATTTTTTGATTGAGAGCAAGTTGATCACTAACTCTGTTTTTATGTCTGCTGCTGTTATTCTTATTTGAGCTTTGCTGCACAAATTCTGCATTAGCAAAGTGCATTTGCTTCATCTTGAAAGGCATCTCTTTTTTTAAATATCAATTTGATGAATCCATCCCCAAATAATCCCAAGGAAGAAATCTTCACAGGAGGAAAAAAATGATTGTTCCGCTATGCTTTTAAACTATAGCATCTAATAGCAACTTGTTTGATCTAGGAAACACCCTTAGAAGCTATTTTGCAAATTGAACTGGTAATAAAAGGTCAAAAAATGAGTCCTGAAATTTGAACCAGGGATTTCCCCACCTATTTCAGTTGCTTGAACCTTAAACAAAAGTAACTCAAGTGGTATTTTAAATATTTTTACATGACTGTATTGCATGTTATTACTGCAAGATACTATAAAGAGAAGAGTATTTGAATATATTCTAGTGAAGGTACAGTTATTACTTGGATAACGAATGGGCTAGCTCTTTTGATCTTTTTGTCATGTACTTGATTCCATTTTTATATTCCCAGAGCATTTGAATAGGGCAAGGTTGTTCAAACCATTTATACTTGGCTCCATAAGGCTCAGTGCTGCAAGATCTCTTAGGAAAGTTATTGCCTTTCTTCTGACAACAAAAACAGCATGCATATTTAGCAAAAATGTCATTCTACCCTTGCAGCCCCCTTGCTGTGAATTGATTAGGCTCTTAAAAAGAAATAAGACTAATGCATTCACTCAATCAAGAACTAAGAATGTGGCTGGAAAAAATATCCTAATTCTAGCAAGGTCATCAGCTGTAGGTTATAGAAATACTTTGGTATTTTACATCCTACTTACTTATACTATGAATGAACGTTATTAAAGCACTTTTCTCCTCCCTACTGAAGCTAGTCTTTATAATCTAGTCTTTTTTTCTACCTACTTCTTTTGGAAATCCTACTCATTCCATAGATCCTGTAATGTGCAGGTGAGGAAACTTGGTGCTTGCAGCCGTATAAAATATTTCTGGGGAAGGCCAAGAGTTGCAGTGGAACATCCAATGACACAGAGTAGGTTGAGCTGCATCATACGCATGGGCAGCACCAGAGTTCTTACATGGATGTTTCTTAATCACTCATCACCAAATGGCAATAAACTTTGTAACTCAGAGATGAAATGAGATTCTGTATACTACAAAAAAAGGGACCCTGGTTGCCCAACTTTGCACTAAATTGTGGTCACTATCCATCATAATTCTAGAAACTAAACAAGTTTTTTATCAGGTGGCTTTGTAAAGAAGGCGGCACTGATGATACTCTTATACTCCAGAGCCTTACCAGGTACAGCACCATCCTTAGTTTCTTCCTCAGAAACATGCAACTAATAAAATGCTACCCTCATCATAATATTTTAAGATCCAGAAAACTGTAATGGCTTTATGATTTGTGCGTTCTCCCAAATGCGACTGAGACATGCACAAGGCTTCACTGTTTAATGCCTAAGTATATGAAAGTCAGAAGTGCTCTTCTCAACAGGAAGAGGAAAAGCAGTACTTCTAGAAGAAAATATAACAAATAACTCTATTGTATAGTATCATAAAGTACATTATTACTTCCTCTGAAATTTACTTTATAAACAATTGGGTTTTTTTTTACTAAATAATGACCATTAGAATAACATCAAGGAGAACCGATCATTTTTTCAACATTGGCTAGAAATGGAAATCCAAAATTGCTGGTTTTCATCTGGCAAGCTCAGATGGGCATGAAAAGGGTTGTTTACATGGAAATCTTCAATGCCTTTTGATATAGTGGTCTGCCTGAAGAAATAGTTGGAATTAATCCATGGTTACCATTCATCGTACCACAGTAGACTACAGGAAACTCCAAATGAAAGAATCTATTCTGAGTCAAATGCAGCACAACCCTCCATATAATACCAAATCTTAAAAGTAATGCCTCTTCCAGAAATGTCCACGAGGAAATCAACAGGAAGAAAATGCACTGTATCGGAGAGACTTAAGCTCCCCACTCCCTTTTCTAGGCCTTGTGCACCTGGGGGTGACCTCTGAAAGAGATGAAACTTGCTTGGCAAAGGTACAATGCTGCTTTGTACTTTTTGACAAAAGTGCTGGATCTGAGAAGGCATCTGGTCTTTCTCAATAAGTTGAGACAGGATTAAAACTTGTTTCTTGAGAAGAGAAGCTTCTGCTTCAACTCTGAACCTTTGAGTAATGGTTCCTATGAGGAAATGTTGCTTTCCACTAAAACACAGGTAAACAATGTGTGAAGAAATGATTGTCTTCTGTGGGTTTATGGCCTGCTCATTGTCATTTTACAACACAGTACCAATAATAGGACCTTAAGGAGATTCCTAGGATTCATCAAATCTTACAGATGAATTTGAGGCCCATATAGTCCATGGCAGGAGATCCATGTCTATATTGAAGCTCTATGTCCAATCTATGTCATAGGACCAAGGTTTAAGAACTAAAGGATATTTGTGCATGAGGGCAAGGGATGTTTCAAAACATTTCATCCATATGTCCTTTCCTATTTGGACTGCCAGAATAAATAACACCAGAGTGCTGTTTTAAAGTGAAATCTGCATTCCATACACACTGCCCACCCTTTGTGTTGAATGCATGCTCCTCTGCATGTAAAAAAAAAAAAGATACGCCTGTGACAGATGTAATTTGCTTTTAAAAACTACCAAATCTGACCTTTTAATTATCTTGCAAATCTAAAATTAAAATAACTCTGGGATGATTATCTACTCCCTCATTAAGCCACCACTGAATATTGCAAAACTTTGTTTGAAGTAACATTTGATCAAAAGTTAATATGCAATCAAAATTGGTAAACAGAACAGACGAACGAGATGATTTTACATTAAAAAATAATGGTTTTTCTTTAAATAGTGAATTAAATGCTATTTAACTAATGTCAATGGAAGAAAGACACTATTTGTTAAGCTCTTCACTAGGAGAAACCACACACTAGTCTATCAGTTTCCAACAAACAATTTGTTTGTTTTTTCATATAAACCAAACAGAAGACTAACTTAAATCTAGAAGCTAATGGTACTGCTAGAGTCCTGAAACCTGATTATAGTTATTTTTTCCCCCCTGTGAATAAAAACGGGTTCATTTTCTGCTTGCATCATATAATGTATTAACTCCCACATTGTTTGAGAGAATAGACAGTGAAAGGGTAAATAGTAGAGACATTAAATAAAGCCATTTCCAAATAAGTTTGGAGCGGATTTGTTATAAAGCCTCTTGCTTGCTGTTATTGCTTTTGGGTGCTGGGCTTGTTTGCTTTTTATTACACTGATTATTTTAATTTTCTTTTGAAGACTGTATGCCACTGAGCCCTGTTTAAATTGGACACACATCTAAGTTCCAGTAAATAAATAAATAAATCTGAATGGTTGATGCTGGTACTAGCTGTGGATTTCTTGTCCCACCCTTTGTAAAAATAAATTATGTGCCTTTTTTAAAAAAAATGCCAGAGAATTGAAAGCTGGGCTCAGGTAGTACAAAATCTTTTCTTAACGCCATCAGGATACTTCCTATATAACAGAAGTGGCAAGAGCAAGCACAAAGGTGAAAGGATTTTTTAAAAAACTTGGGCCTCAAGGAATCTAAGCCCACTTTTCCCACTGGGAGCATTTGTAACTCCTAAAATTCCCATTCAGCATTTTCAGTGGCTGGGGATTCTGAGAGTTTTAATCCAGTGTATCTGAAGAGAAATAGATTGAGAAGATCGGTTCAAAAATGGCCAATAGAAAGCAGCTCTAAACCACAGGTATTTTGTTTTTGCTTTAAATAGCAGTACAATCTTCTACAGGTGTATGTAGCAGCATATTCCATTGAGTTAAGGAATCAAATGTTGCGGAAATGTGCATACGTTTGTTGCATAAATGTGTTATAACAGAAACATATGGACAATCATGACTAGTTTAAAAGCAGAACCTCTGATATAATTCTGACAAACCTTAGAATGTGATATTTTTGTTTTAAATAAAGGAGATACCCCCAGAAAGCAAAATATGGCACTATATTAATAATCTGCATTGCTTATTAAGCTAATATGACCGTATCTTTCTTAATTTGCAAATCTCACATTTTTACATTTTAATCAAGTTTTAGCAAAGAAGAAGCAAAATCTGACCATTATGCAATGTGCATATCATTCGTAATTATAGCACCCATATATATTATATCTGTCTTTTATTCTGAACTACTGTTCTGATTCCTGTTTGGTCCATATGTTTTCATTACATCCAAACAGAAATGACATTCCTATTTCACTGAATAAGGAATAGGGTATTGCTAGATAATTGAGCCCATGTTTTTCAATATTTATCCCATTATTGAATATCTATTTAGAGCAGGGGTTTCAAATTCAAGGCCTGCAGCCCAGCCCATGGGGTGCTTAGACCTGGCCCATGGGACTGCCTTGGAAACAATGAAGGACCGGCTTGCGGTGCCTCTGCCAGTGAAAATGGAGCTTTGTTTTCACTGGCAGAGGGCTGCAGGAGGATTACCCCAGCTCTGCCCAGGCCATCACAGGTATCCCCGACATGAGTGACATTGAGCCGGCCACGCCCCCAGCCCCCCCAAGGTCAAATGCAACCCTGATGCAGCCCTCAATGAAATTGAGTTTGATATTCCTGATTTAGAATTATTCCCAAGGGCATGCATAGACAAAGAAGAGTGTGATCTATTTTTTTTAAAGGCTATCAGATTTGCTTTCTGATCAACATATCCTTATTCTCAGACATAACTGGGTAAAGTAATGCCCACACAGGCAAACCAGAACAAGGCATTGCACTAAGTGATCACATTTATTTGAATATTTTGTGTGTGTGTGTTCTAAAATTGGTTACAGAATAAATACCTGCATCTTATAACAGGAAGTCCATTTTTTTTAATACAAAGTGCTTGTTAGAGGAAGTTGCATCAACAAAACACAGGAAACCATGTGTGTACTTAGGCACACACTTCCCTCCTGGAAACTAAAACAGATTTTTATTTTTTTTTAAGTTTCTTTTCCCTTTTTTGTGCATTTCATTTCCTGCCATTGTGTATTTACAAATCTCTGAAAGAAGAAAAAAATGCCAATATGTACGATACGTGGCCTTTTAACACACAAAAAAAATCAGCCTTAAAAAAAAAACCTCTACAAGTGTCATTTCTTAATGAATCAATGATAGAAATTTGTCTTAAAAATGGGAAGGAGAAAATAATTAAAAGGAAAACCAAAGAGCCCAGACTCTGAAATAAAAAGGATCATCTGTCCCTTTAAGTTTTCCCCGTAGGAAAGTAGCAATGTCACATGATCCAAAGCAAATACTTGATTGAAATTCTTGTTAATTTTTTCCCACAGTTCCCATCCCCAACCTGATAGAAAGAAAGGAATTTTAAAGAATTAAATTAGAAATAAGAGATGACAACAATGCCCCACTCTGAATCTGGCATGTGGTAGGGATAGATGGAAATGGATTTGATTTAAAATAACAACAAAAACTAGATTAAAAAAATTCAAAAATCAACAGGATTCTACCAAAACCAGATGGTTAACTGGTGACATAGTGTTTGGTGGAAGGCTGACCATAAACTCTATAGAAATCCTGGCGTCCATGTTGCTGAGATGCATCAATCCATTCTCTCACTGCCAATCCTGGAAGCGACTGAGGTACAGATGGAGCAGGTGGGAGTGGGTGGGAATATTCCTGTGATGACACTGTCCATGGAAAGTGGCCGGATCGTGGGTAGGGCTGATGCCCACTGTGATTGGATACTGAGGAACAGTAACAGTTGTCCACTGAACAGACAAGAATTTTGCGCCCACCATATTGGGACAGCACAGACTGCTGAGATGATGTGCTGTTGGGATAGTGAGAAGGGTTGAACATGGAGCTGGAGTGAACTGGTTGGGGGCCACTGGAGAGTCCTACTATGTGCTGCGTGGAGCTACAAGGCACCATGGGTTGTGCAGACTGGCCTTCACCAGCCGAAGCCCCCTGGCTGACGTACTGGTTGGCAACAGGTCCCGAGGATGGCTCCAAGAAACTGGCTTCTGGAAAAGCTGTGGAGTGCTTGCGTTTCTCCGCTCCTGAGTTACTGACGCTGCAGGGATACATAGGGATGCTCTGCAGGAATGGCACAGGGGTACTGAAAGGACCTGAAATGAAACAGAAAAAATAAGTGACATCTCCATTTTCAGCTGAGTGATTAAGGCAACAGCACAGATCCATGTGTGTGTTAGTAATATAATGAAGTCTGCCAGATAATGCCAAAGACAGACATGATCTCAAAACTAATAGAAACTAGGAAAAGAACCCCTGATTATTCTAGCTATCCATTGTAGAGATGTCTGCTGGACTTCTATTCTTATACTGAACAGACAGAAAGAGAAAATATTAAATACTAAATTTTGTTATCTGCGGGAAAGACGGTGTTAACATGCAGTGTTTTCTAATGTGCATAACAAATTCAAATATAATTTTGATGCAGAACCTGGATTCAAAGAAAAACTAGAAAGTCCAGTTGCCTCTTGAAAAAGTACCTTGGGGATAGTAACATTTTATTGATTAACTATTAGAGCATAACAGAATACAAAATATAAAACACAAAATACTAGTAAGAACATATGTTAAAAATAGAATTAAAGAACCTGCAAATTGTACTTCCATAACACCCCTCCAAATTCACATATGCAGTTCTCAACTCTTTGCTTTGTTCAAATAAAGGGCCATATTATTATAGGTCCATGTAATAATAATGTGCATAATCAGGAAGTCTGCAATTGTGGCAAGATGTATTATTATTTAATGTTAATGTGTTGAGTGATCTAGAAAGATTTTTGGAGGTAATATCTTATAATGTCATTTTCTAATGAATTATTTCTATCAATATATATTTGAAGAGACTATGCAGCAACACTTGCCCATTTAATATCATCTCATAGAAATATTCTCCTGATATACAAATATTCCCATATAAGCAGAGTATAAACATTAAAATAATTATTCAAAAATATTATAAATCAGGAATTGGTAACCTTTTCAGTAGCATTGGTAACCATAGCATGATCACATGCAATAATGCAGAAATCATTGATCAATATGATTAGTTGAAATCTAACAAGAATATTGAAATTTATAGGATTTTATCAATTTCACTTGAAATTCTTTAAGATGTCATGTGTCAATGTTGAAATCTTAAAAACACTTGATGATTTATCATTTTGGAGAATATAGAAATGCTACTCAAAAATGTCCTCAACATTCTAGAGCCAAGGGGCAACATATTTATAACCCCTTTTTGATCCTTGTCTCATAAATTTTAACCCATGAACAGCCATTCCAAGTGCAACTGAATGCAGCCAAATTACAGCTGGTGAAAATAGCAGCTCCAAATGTTTTGGATAATAATCTACACTCCTCACCCCAGGTACCTGACAAATAATAATAGAAATATATTGGTTGCTACAGAATTAACTCAGGGGAGCCAGCAGTATAGCAGTAATTGAAAGAATATCCAAAGAGACTGTACCTCTTTAACTTCTTTCTTGGATTAAGGCCATACTCTATAGCAGAGGTGTCAAACTTATGGCCCATGGGCTGGATGTGACATGCATTGACCACGCCCCAACCCTGGTTTAGTGAAGGGGGAAAAAGTAGCGATATGTCACGTGATGACAACATGATGCCGCAAGTTTGACATCCTTGCTCTATAGGACAGAGTAGAAATTCTAGGCCCTTCCAATGCTTTTGGATTATCAATTCCAATCAAAATGGTAAACTGAGAGCTGGTAGTCTAGCAACATTTGGAAGGAAACAGATTTTCCATTCCTATTCTAGAGGTTATGTAGAAAATAGCAAAGACATCAAATTGAGTTATCTTTCTAGTACTATTAAGACCACCTTTTGTTTCTAAAATATCTTAAACTTTGTAGATCTGGGACTAACAATATACAGTGAAAATATTATGGGAAGAATATCATTTTGTGCCACATTCTTGCCACAATTCCCTTTGAATTAAAATTAAATTGCCAATTAATAAAGAAGCACAGTGTAAGGAATGGAAGACAAATTAAAAGAAATAACACAAAAATAAAATGGTTTCGTCCGCCTAAAAATAGATAGTTGGAAAACCATGTACAGATTTAAGATTGGGATCCAATCTAGGTTGGTCACAAGGACGAGAGATTTACTCTTCCAAGCTTTTGGACTGGTCCTAGATTCCACACTCAAGGATCTTCTCTATAGCAGAATGTATGCTTTGGCCTATTCTATGAGTATTTATGTGGCACCTTGTTGTCTTTAGCTTTTTAGTTGTTGATTGGGATGTTGATGGCCAGCTATTAAGTCATTGGCTGATTTAAAATCGCTATTCTATAGAACCCAGATTCTTCTCCTGGGATGATTTCCTTGAAATACAGGAGCAAATCTGTGAATTGAATATGTTGTGCTTATTCCTAAAGGAAGAAATATAAAACTCATCCAACAACACTCCCAAACCAAAAAAGGTCCTGCTCACACACGTTACATCCCCATTACCCTGTTTCCTGTGGTTTCCAATTTTCAAAAATAATTGTTAAAAAAAGGTAGCCAAAAGATACTCTGTCCCGATTCATGCAAACGGAAATTCAGTAGTGAGTATACAAATGATGAAGTGTCATGGGAAATATTACTCACCTTCCAGGAGCTTCCGCAACTGTTTTTCCTTCTTGGCAATCTCATTCAGGAAGAGCTTGGAATTGAGGTGGCCAATCTTAGGAGGGGGCAGGCTGCCTCCTGTGCAGTTCTGAGTCCTTAAAATGAGCATTACAATCTATTACAATTATTTTTTTTTTAACAAAAGCCAGCTCGATAAATATCCACAGTGCCTCTTGTTAGCCATCTGATTCTTTCTTATGGCTCCATCCTTCTGCTAATTTAAGGGAAGCCTCAATTGTTCAAACATTTATCTCCCAGCAAACTTTTCCCCCTATATCTCTAAGAACAATTTTCTTTCCTCCACATATTATTCTTTCTTCTTGAAAAACAATTCTGTAAATTTAAGATTTCCCATGTCTTTTTAAGAAATCGTGTTCTCAACTGCCAAACACCATTTAAACTAATATTTTTCTTACACGTTTCTGTCACTAACAGAGAACAGTTTATTTGCGGGGATTCTCTGGTTTTGTAGATACAGGGCATAATTCAAAGAACTTTTTTTTTTTTGCTCTGATTTGAGTGGACACAAATAACACAAAGTGTATAGCAGAAACTAAAGCACAAAACCCCCAAACCATAACTTTGTTCCATCAGTGCAGAAGCAAAACTTGTATTTTTCATGTTTGAGAAATATAGTTGTCATTTTCTTGAACCCTCGTTCTGAGTAAAGTATACAACAGAGAGTTCCATTTCAGTGCAACAATAACCATGGTTATAATAATGGCAGCTGAGGAAAAGAAATTAGCTTTGTTAATGTTATCTTTACAGCCACTCAGATGGTTATCTGGATTTTCTGCATTTCAAACCACCTTCTAATACAAACCACCCTCCAAATTACTGCCAATAGATTTCTTACCTATCCATCAAGATCTTCACTGACTTTGTATTCTAGAAAAGAATAAAGAAATATAATTAGTAGTTGTCAATCAAATAGATGTCTGATGACACATAAACTACAGTTTTCCAAATTCTGCAGATATCTAGGGTGTTCCTATTGATTATATACATTTATTAAATTCATCTCCAACAACCTATAAGTATTCCATAACCAAACTACCTGACGATCACAGCTCATTCATTTTCTGTATTTTCCAAAGTTTTTCAGTTAACAAGAATGACTTCTGGCTGAAACTCTGGAATTTAGTGGCTACCATTATGAATACTGTCAAGGTAGATAGCAAATTTTTCTTCTCATAAAACAGTGGTCCCCAACCTTTTTTGGGCCGTGGCCTGGTACCGGCATCACAAAATCATCTGCGGCCCGGTACCGGCATCAGCACGCATGGCAAGGCGAGCTGAGCAACCGGCCAGCCAGCCGTCCCCCGCTTCTCCCCGCCACCTTCAACTCCTCCTTTGTCGATGGGCTTCGCGATGGCTTTGGGACGGTCACTCGGCTCTCCTTGCCATGCGTGCTGAAAGAATCCTCGCGCCTTAGTTTTGTTCGAAGCCGCCGCCCCCTCGATGAAACTAAGGCGCGAGGATTCTTTCAGCACCCAAACGCCGCTTTCTACCCAGAAAAGCTCACCAGAAGCACTTTTTCATCAAAACAAGATGGCGGCGCCCAGCAAACTGGCAGCCCGGTAGAAATTGTTCCACGGACCGGTACCGGTCCGGGGACCAGTGGTTGGGGACCCTGTCATAAAAGATAATCTGGATTGCTTTTCAGAGTTGTAAAGTTCATGAGAATATATGTAGAGCATTCTGAAGTACTATATTACCACTCTCTGTATTACAATATGCTTCTACCAATACCCTTTCATTTCTCTGTTGTAATTAAAATATATGGGATCAGTATAGAATCAGCTATTCAAGTTCAATCAGTGGTGTACAATATACTTTAGGTTAATTGCAAAAAATGCTAGTAGTTTACACAAACCTTCTTGGTTTTAGATATATTTGCTATGATTTCCTGGATCACAACAATGAAAATAAGACAGCCTTCTTAATTAATCTTACAAATTTAATTAATCCTACAGATAATCTTTTCTGAAACAAATAGCAGAAGTTACTAAGCAAATATTTTGAGTTAGGTGAAAACCCAATAACTTTATCTATTGCTCTATAATGATTCTAGTTTTTATTATTTTAGCTGTAGTATATGACAGATAGACCCTGGGTTTTAGAGCACAAGATTACCACTATTGCTGTCATTTCACTACACTTCCTTGGCTTCATGCACCTACTGAATGTTAATAATATTAAGAATAACCTCACATTCTGACACATTAATTTTTTTAACTCACTCTGCCATTCTTCTAGTAGTCCGATTTGGGACTCTTGCTGAAGCACAATTAAGTGCAATATGATGTATCAATCGACTTAACGAGATATTCCAGTAGGGTGTAAATACCTTGCCAATCAATTATTAAGATTTACAACGAAGCTTCTTTTTAATAGAGGCATTAATATTCATGAGGTGAAGAAACTTCCAAAATTGAGTATTAGGCTATTTGGTATATATGAAAAGCTTTTTAGAAAAGAATGCTGAGTGGAACCTTATCTGAAGTAAGGTTTGAAGTAATCTTTTTACTCATCCATCTGCTGTATGACCTAAAAAGCTACATTTAGAAAACTAATAGGAGGATTGACTAGGCATCTCCAACCCTAAGGGAAATCCACAATCCTAAATAAGCCAGTTAAAACATTTGAATCTCAAAACCAAATATATAAGTTTAAAAATGTTGATTCGATTCTGTCCTTAGGCCATTTGACCAAAATTATAATAGTTTTATTTTATTTTAACTACAATTTCTTTCATGGCAGGTAATAATATTGTTATTTTTGCCTTAATACTTAAGGCAACTTTCTCTAACCTGATATCCTTTGAGACATAGAATTTGCCACACTTGGGACTTCTAGCCCAACACATCTCTTGGACACCAGATGTGCAACTATTTTCAAAAACAGTCAACAGAATCCCCTAATCTATTTTAAACAAATGTTATTTGAAATATTCATCTAAATACATCTCTGTCCAGGAACTGAACTGAACTTTTTATCCTGTCTAAGAGCTGCATGAAGTATGATAGCTGATGCTGCAATATCATTAGAATAGGCAGGATTGAATTTTGTATGAATTTTAGGGTTTAGATGAGGAGAAATATTCATTTTGTGCCATCAAGTTAATGTTAACTATTGGTGACTGCACAGATTTTCTCCAGGAAGATCTTTCCTTAATCTGGCCCTTAATGGGCTTCCATAACAGTGTACGGCATTGCTGTTATAACTGAGTAAAATTTCAATCTTATCCATTTAGGAAGGAGAAACTGTGGGGATATAAATGGACTCAGAGCAACTAGAAGTTCAACAAAATTGTTGTGCTATATATATTCAAGAGTACGGGTAATATTGTTGGCCACTAGTTCTTTTAGGCAGCTTGGGACACTTATGTAACTTAGGAGAACATTTTACCAAATAATAATGTGAGGTAGATTAGGTCAAGAGATGATGACCCATCCAAAATCACAAAAATATTTTGTAAGATTTTTTCTGCTATATATTTAACATAATTTTGGCTGAGAATATCATCTATAAAATAGTTTAGCACTTGTCCAATTTAAGTCTTCAGCTCTACTTAAAATGAGAAAACATATTTTGTTCATAGATATATGTTCACAAGAAAGAAGGAACTTTGAAAATATATGCTATCAAACTATCCAAGTTTAATATTTATCATTGATACATCCTTTGATCAATTCTGACTCCTTGCCAAGTGTTAAGATTAACCACACATTTGGATGTCCCCATGGTATACTATATGGTAAAATGAAAGATAAAATAATTTTCTACATGGACTAATTTTCAACTCTTAATTTTAATTTCCACTGTTAATTTTGACACTGCTAATTCATATGCAGAAACTACAGGGTCTTAGCACTAGTTTCGAACGCTGAATGTTTAAATCCATCCATGAGAGCTAAAAGTAAACACCTGTCCAACTGTAGCCCAGAATTTTTCTATCAAACTTCAATCTACTTCTTTTATTACTTCTATAAACCTTTTTGGGATATTCTCATCCTTTGTTGACAAAGTAGCATTTAAACATGCAGAAAACAGTGATAGCATTTCTATATCAAATAGAGAAATTGAATAATAATTGAATACTCTTTTCATTCTCTCTCTGCACAATATCTCTGTGTGTTGCTGCAGAAGCTTCAAAATTATTAAAGAGAGAGAACCATAAACAATAAACAAACTAGTCAATAAAACTACAGAAAGTTAATCAAATCTAAAGTAATATGGTTTTGCCAGGTAAATATGGGAGGATTCATCAGGGTAACTTGAGAAAAACAAATGCAAGGAGATGGAAATGCAAGCTGAAAAGGCTATAAAGAAGAGAGGGGAGAAAGAAGAAATTTCTATTGCCAGGATGGGAGACAAAGATTGGAAATAAAGTTACAACTGTGAGCTTGATGCACCCAGTACTGGCTTGACTGTTTAAAAGCTCTGAATCCTTCTTTTATTCTAAATGCTTAGCCCAGACCTCTCCTTCTCCAAACACATCCCACTTTTCACCTTCATGAAGTTGATGTCTTCTGTCTTGTCATACATGACCTGAACAGAGCTTAGCAGTTTCTTAGCCTCCTGCATGCGTTCGCTCAAATGCAGCACCTGGGCAGCATTGTCATTGCAGAATTTGGCTTGGGCTTTGTCAAGGATCTCCATTGTTTTGCGCAGGTCCTCATCAAGTATCTGATGCATCTTCTCATACTGTAGGCGCACCTCATCCTTCAGCTGGCTCACCTTCTCCTATTGGTACAGTGAAAGAAGAGTGCCCAGAGTCAATGTCCTCTCTTATTTACTTACTACATCACTCATAATGGATAGTGGCAATAATGCTGATTCAGAAAATTTATTCTAAGCAATTTTCACTCGCATTTTTTGCACAGGTAAAAAAATTACACAGCATTGTTTTTGCTCTACTGGCCTATATGAACTTTAAAAGAATACAGTTACTTCAAGATGTGAAAAGAGTGGTGATTGTTCAACAGAGTGGTAAGGGTGCACATCTTAGCAAATGGCACATAGCAGCTATGAAGCATCATCTATAAGAAAATAAATGTTTGCTTTTGTCCTTGATCAAGATGGCAAAGACTGTGTTCCAGCCGTGAATAGAAGTTTTTCACAGACACATTATTGTACATCAATGCACCCCCTTAGCTCAACCTCCTCTACTGTCCCAGGCAAATATGCTAGAAAGACAATTTCTCTATCTAACTATCAGCTGAAGTATGAGGCTGAAGTAAACTAAAATTATTTTATATCTCATATTCGGTAGATTATTCGTGCCCTGAGAGAGGAAGCTACACTGGAAGGCAGGAGCTTAAGAAAAAGGGTCTACAGCAGGGGTGTCAAACTCAAAGCCCATGGGCCAAATCCAGCCCATGGGGTGCTTAGATCTGGCCCATGGGGCCAACCTGAAAAACAGTGAAGGACTGGCCACGGTGCCTCTGCCAGCAAAAATGGAGCTTGGCCACATGCGGCCTTCCTGAGCTCCGTTTTTGCTGGCAGAGTTACAGGAGGCTGTTGAAGCCGAAAATGGAGCTCAGGAACACGTTTTTGCTGGCAGAGCACTCAGGCCGCCACAGGCGCCCCCTGACGCAAGTGACATCGAGCTGCCCATGCCCACCCCGGTCCACCCGCGGTCAAACACAACACTGATGCAGCTCTCAATGAAATCAAGTTTGACACCCCTAGTCTAAGGTATGAAAAATACCTGTAGATTAGTGGTTTCCAATGTTCCTGCATATCATAAGAAGACATATTGAAACGATATAATTAACATTAGAGAGCTGTAGTGAATGATGCCTTTGGTGGGGATTCTCTAATTGTTCCATGCATGGAGGAAAAATAATACATGACTATGCCATTTATTTTGTAAGGATTCCAAAGACTAAACCTTCACTGGAAATTCCCCTATCAAGAACACTTTCTTGCTAGATGAACATAATTCTTCTTGGTTATAGCTTTAAGTAAATTAGAATTACTTCAACCAGGCGCTTGTCCGATTCCAACTTGTACAGCTGCTCCTCAATGTCTTGTTCACGCTCTTCCAGACGGTCCTGCTGCTTCACCAGCATCTTCTGCAAGAGAAGGAAGAAGCAGAAGAAAGGCTGTTAAGATGTTTTAAGGGAAAGGGGGGAAAACTGAAAAGGTATATAATAATCACAAGGAATGTTGGAAATGCTGATGAAGACTAGTTCATCATGTTCCACTGCTCTTTCTGTCAAAAGTAACAGAGTGACAGTGGCAACCCTAGGTTTGTAATTTCACTAGCTAATCTGAAAAGTGTTCAGTTAATTAGAAAAAGAAAAAATGATAAACGATTTGTTCTTCCACTCACCATCACTGCTTCTATGGTAATATACTATGAACTACAATTCCCAATTTTTCTCAAATTTTGGAACGACATGCAGAATTTATTAAAGAATGAAGACATGTGCTTCAGAAAAGATAAACCCATTGTGTTACATAAGACCTTATTCAAATCATTTATTTTTGTTTTGTTTTGTAAGCAACAAGTATGTGCCAGGAGTGGAAGGAGACCCACACTGACACACACACATGCCAGCCCTGGAGCCATCTTTGAGGCTGCCACAGTGAGGCTGGTTGGAGCTATGAGAAAGGGAAGGAGGAATAGAGATAGCTGAGTGGAATATGTAGCCAAAATAACATTATTTCTTATGTGAACCAAGGACACTCTCACCAGCACCTGGAGGGGCGTGGATGGGAGACACCCAGAATGGGGAGACCTGACTGGGGCATGTGATGGTTGTGTGTAATGTGGGAAAGAACTTTGGGTGGAGAAAACCCAGGAAACATCAGATTCAGGTTTTCATCAGGTGTGCCAATATGACATACCTAATAAATCTATACTTTGAGGAACCCTGCCTTGGAGTTTTGATTTCCTATGGGCTGTTACTTGGAACCCTGACACACAACACATGAATATTTTTGCTAATCTGGAAAAGATGGAAAAAAATATATTGGGACACTTCTTGTTCTTAGATGGACTTAATCTTAATTGTTTAAACATCTTAATTGTTCAAATCTTTGTATTCATCTGTGTATGGTTTGTCAATTGCACAGTGGCAGATAAGAAAGCACTCCAGAGGTTAACTTGTCCAGAAGATTATTGGTTGCCCTCTCCTCTCTTTGGAAGAGCTTTATAGCTCCTGCTGCCTTAAGAAAGTTCAAAACATTCTCAAAGATCCATCTCATCCTGGGAACCCTTTTTTCGAACTATTACCATCTGGCAGATGGTACAGAATAATAAAAACAAGGACAAATAGGCTGATAAACAGCTTCTATCCTAGGGCAGTAGCTCTATTGAATTCTACTGTATAGTGCAATATTAATGCAATATCAGGGGTTTTCAATTCAATGTGAAGAATGTGAAGGATGTATGTTTGTTTTATTTTCATAGTCATAATGCACACTGAAGATGGTATTGAATTTCATTGTACGAGGTGCAATGACAATAAACTAAACTAAACTAAACTTTGCTAAGAGACATCTTACCAAAATCTATATCTTTGTTTCTTAAACTTTAAGAGAGAAAAATAGAATTTCCACCCAAAATATTTTTTTCAATTTGAAGTGCAGACTAGTTGTCCTATAATGTTAGAAACTGTATAAATACTATAGCCATAATAACAAGAAATTAAAAATAATAAATACTTACTATGAAAAATCAACATTAAATCATTTCCTTTGTATTTATTTTATTCTTGCTATTATTATGATCTTATTTTTCACTTTCAAAGTTCTTCCAATTCTGAGGAAATTATTTCTGGAATGCTATAAATTATTGTGTATACAAGAGTGTTTTTACTTCTATAGAAACTTTCAATATAAACATAAATAATTGATAGCATTTTACATCATCTAAAAATTCTTGATAGTACTTTGCCCACTTATTATGCACTAACTTCAGATAAGGCCCTTTCTACTTAAAAAGCTGTTTCCCTGGGTCATTTGGCTAGGAGAAGAAAAAGAGGCAAAGAAAGAATGCTTCAGAAGACATTGGACTTATGAAAACACTTTAGGCAAACAGGTCTTCAGATAACTAAGCTTCCTTGTTGAAAGTTACAAAGAACATTACTGTAATTTCAAACAAATGAGTTTTCTGTGATAATGAAGAGCCAGATAAACCAGTCTTGTATAATTTCTTCCCTTTGCTTCAAGCAGCTTCTACATACAAATAGAATGCACTTTGATTTCAGATAGTATTACCCAGATATGAAACTTATTTTTACATGACTACGATAATTTCAATTGTTGTATGAACTGTCTACCTTTGACCACTTAACACCCAGGTAACTGCAGGTTACTTCTCTGCCCTACTTCCATGGAAATGAAGTTGCTTTATTTTTTCATTGTTATGAAGATGACTAGGCTGAAAGACACTGACATGCCCAAGGCCACCCAGGCAGCTTCTTGTCACAGCAAATTCAAGTCATTCTAGTTCAAGCCGAGCATTAAATCCTTACATTACACTGGAAAGAATTCTTATAAACCTATTGTCATTGCTCACTAGATAAAATGGTATCTCACATAGCTGGCAATAAGTATTAAACTAGAAAAAGTTGAGAAACATAGATGGATACATAGCTTGAATAAATAGGCTGATACTGATGCCATACATGAAAGAGTTAATTTGTCAAAAATAGTAGTAGAGAATTAACATTGTTTTAATTACATGATAGCCCTGGTTTGTATTATTTTTAAGTGCAAATTTTTCCATTTAAGTTTCATCACCATTTTGGGAATGGGCAGCATACAAATAAGATAACTAAATAACCTATTACTGCTTAAAATAATGCATTTTGACATATTGAATCTATATGTAACATAACTCTTGATATCTATGGAGAAATGACCTTCTCATTTGATATTTGTCTGCAACAAGCATGTGCATATGTAGCAATACCATATCCATTCATTGTTGTCTGACTGGTACGTATGTGAAATTTGGCTAGGAAATTTTGTGAAAGATAGATTAGAGGAAAAGCTGAACCAGAGGCTTCAAAGATTTTGATTGGGATTGGGAGGGGCGGGGAAGAGATTGGGGGCAGTTACTATGTTTTGTATTCGAGTTTTTATTTATGTAAGCTACCCAGAGTCACCATAAGTGAGTTGGGTGGTCATATAATTTTTATAAATACATAAATATCAACGAAGATTTATCTACAAAATTTGCAACCCGTTCTGCCTTCTGAGAATTGAGACCTTGGTCCCCAGGAGATGCATTTATTCAAGGAGAGCTAAATCCACTAAGCTTCCATGGTAGAGATTTTTCATGTGCTCTTCTGACAATACTAAACTGATCAAAATTAATTATTCTAAATAAATAAATATCTATGTATTTCATTTCATTTCATTCTCTCGTTTCTGGCTACCTCCTCCAACTAATGAAATTCAACTGACATCATTCAAGCTGGGTTCTGCAGTAGGAAATCATTATCTGTGTATTCCTAGGGAGTTTTAAGCAGTAATAGATTATTTAGTTATCTTATTTGTATTCTGCCCATTCCCAACTGCTGGTGATGAAACTGAAATGGAAAAATTTGCATTTAAAAATAATACAAAATAGGGCTATCATGTAATTAAAACAGTCTGTATGTAATTTAATTTTAACTATTTCAATTAATATAAACTGCAGGGAATCAGCATGAAAGATAATTATAAATATCTATAAAATTATAAATAATATAGACAATATATTTAGATGTAACAGAATACTAGAAAATTCATTCTTTTCTGGGGATAAGAAATATAGGATAAATCTCTTAAAATAAATCTCCATAGTCAGCCTTTCTGAACAGCTGTCCAGGCTAAGTGGAGATGACGTAACTTGTATTCTAACACCTCTGATGAACAACACATTCAGAAAAGCTATTTTAAATATTTAACTTTAAAATAATCTGTTTCTTCAAAACGTTATGCAAAATAATTTTGTTTCCCACTCAAGCTATGTTAGTAATTGATAACAAAATCTCCAGGAACTGGAGATAAATGAGATAGCAAAATATTTCAATATAACACAAAGGATTCACATTTCTGACCTTTGGGAAAGAAAACCTCAGGTGATGGCATATTTTTCACTATCAAAAGTTTTTTAAAATATATGTTTACCATTTCAATAAAAGTAGGGGAAATGCAAAACAAGCCAATGTAATTTACCAGTCTCCAAATATTTTGGTCTTCTGTTGGCTTAGATGTGGTGTGTGTGTGTTTGTGTGTGTGTGTGTCTCCCATTCATTCTCGGGAGGGGAAAATTTACCTAACTTTTTTACTACACCCCCATTGAAGCAATAAGGGTAAGGAAGATCAAGAAGGAAAGTGAAGTGGTTAGAATAGGCAGAAGGGCAATAACAAAAACCAGTTCTGAAGGGATTATTATTATCATAAATAGCTGGTTGAGGTTTATAATCAGGTACTTGGTTCTTGTGTCAAGTACAGCGAAGAGTAAATCAATTTAAGTGCAAGGAAGGCCACTATTTTCTCTATCCATTAGGCAAAAATATTGGAACTCTTTCCTTATTTTCTTGATGTTTCCTGCAGATCTCAGGTACCTTGATCCTCGTTATCTACAGAAGTTGGGATAAAACAATAGAGGGCTGCAACACAACTAATAAAACTGTTTGCAAAACTTACAGAGAAAATAATTCATTTTTGCCTATTTAGCTAGCTCTCTCTAACCTGTCCTTTAAAAAAAATTCCCCAAAGTGGTACCACAGGTTTCACTTAGGAATCCTTAGTCTTTTAAAAGAGAGCTGCATTCTATCTAGAGACAAAGTACAATACAGAGCTGTTTGTAAAAGCTCAACTACACTTTGCTAGTTTATTAAGAAAAACTAAACTACACTCTGTGAAAGACTTGGGCATGACTAGGATAATATCAGTGTATCAAAACAGAACTTTCAGCATCCATTTAGAAATGTGAGCTGGATAGGGTATAAATGCTACCAATTCCTAGTCTAATTCTATTCACTTTCCTGTCAGTACAAGTTAAGAGCTGAGACTTTTTGCATTCCTCACAGCTCATCCTTATTAAGGAATGGGGACATCCCACATTTGG